ACACTTGTTTTTCCAAATTGCTAGAGCTGGTCTTCTATTAAGCTTTGCTCACTAGTGTACAGCAATATTAATTCCGTGGTAATGGGTTTTTGCAAAATATGTTCCTTCATTAATAATAAATTATTCGGGGCTTTTTAAAGAGAATGCCACTATGGGATGTTATTGATGACGCCACTGATTATTCCGATAACGACATCAAAGACATTTTACAGTTTAAACTCGATTTAGGTTTGTTGAGATTGTTGTAAACTAATTTTGGTTCGACCTCAGTTCCACCAATACGCTTTTATAAATTTACATTCATGATAAATTTTAGTTTCAGTTTATGGCCTCAGAATGATTAATAATGTTTTGTACGGATGCCATTAAGGTCCCCTACGAATATTGGGTGCACAAAAGGTGGTAGCTGCGTTTAATAATATAAATGTAAATCTGAGTCGTCATATTGGCTAGGGATTTGCGGTAGATAGTAACAGAGCGAACGGACAATGACTAATTTGGTTCATTGTGACTGCTATTTTCGGCTTTATTGACACTTCAAAGACCAATAAGTTGGAAACATATTGACTGTCCGACCAAAGATGTGTTTGCGAGTAAATATTTACAGAACAGCTTTTTCAAAATTCCTATGAGCAAAATTTACAACACTGATACAGACACTTTTTGCATTCAAAGCTCAAAAAGTAAAATGACATCACACAAATACCTCCTTATCAATATGCAAGATGTATCTACTCCATGCTTTTTCAGCCCCTTTAATTCTGCTTTCATTTACTTGTTCTCGATGTTGACTGCTCTTTCTCATGTTCATACCTAAATGGATATGAAATTACACTGCACACAGCACGGCGCGTGGTGCTTCTGTGCAACGAATATTTACGCACAAACCTTCGTCCATGAGTCGACTCTTTAGAAATTGAACAGATATTGTCAGACAGGTACAAAGAGCCGAATTTGTTGCTTTTTTTTGAAAAACTAATCAGGAGAACGCCCGAAAGTACAAATCCCCTTAATTGGGGGGGAGCACGTTATTCGTTCTATTAGTCATAGCTTTGACCGTTTATCTTGGTCATTGAAAGTATTCTATATTTGTAGCATACTATAATATAAATTAAAAGTCGAGAGAATGTGAATAGCACGTTAGTATTTAAATATTTATTATCAATATGCATAGCATTATCCTTTGGGTAGTACAATAACTATCTCGGAAGCTGATCATCCCCAACTATAGTTGATCATCCCCCAACACTTTTTTTATGGCGGATAAACTCGCCATTATGCATTCTATGTACAATTATATTTTATCAGTTATTATGAGTTAATTTATTTTATTGTTCATTTTATAATAATCATTATCCCCATTAACAATCGACTACGCACAAACTGTTACCATTCCCATTTCTCATAATAAAAATGATAAATCGAGCTCTTTATCAGAATGCGAATGCGTCTCTGTTTTCTTTGAAGATTCAGCCACTCGCTTCTATTCAACGCTCAAGCACCCATACGATAGTATTCTTCAATAATAACGTTGCTGCTAAACCTGATTCTTTCTCTGTGTACCAAACAAACCAATCCGACATCTTTTGACGGTAAAACCAATTTTTTTTGATCTTCCCAATCATAATTATTACACACTTTTGACAATCTTCACAACATTGCCGGGCTGCTTTTCTTCTTTGCTTCTCTTCTTCTCCATCCCCCCCTTTTCCATAGATCTTCAAACATCCACTTCCCTAAAAATCGTCTACCGCATTCATATATCTATAGAAACAACATCCCTTTCAAATGGTCTTTGGCGTTAAAACCATCTTTAAAAATCAAAGGCCTTCAAACGCAACCTCTACAACAGTCGCCGAGGAAGAGACTTACATGACAGACACAGAGTCAGAATCTGCTTATACGGCTGAGGTCGTCGATAATCCTACTACGCAATCGGACGTGAAAATTGAGCTCGAAGGTGAAAATAGAGATACTTTTATATTAGTACCGGGACTATTGGGATATGATACTTTATCGCTGCACTTATTCGGAAACAAGTGGGTGCTGTCAGATTATTGGAGTGGTTCTAGGGAGATGTTTGAGGATTACATCATTGTTAGGCCGAGTGCTTTCGGGGTAAGTCTTCTTTCTTCTTCAGAGAAGAGTAAAGAGAGGTATACATAGTACGTACGTACACACACCACACACACACATACATACACACACACATACACACACATACATACACACACACATGTGTATCTATGCGTATACGAGTTAGAGCGTAGTATCTCTTATCGGGATCGTAAATGCTGCAAAAATTATCATAGCACGATCACACGATAGAGCACATGCTTCTATTCTCGGTCGCTTATTTGACCGTCTCCAGTTTCCCAGCCCATAAACTATATAATTTATATTAATCTAAATAGTAACTAATGTACTCATCTTTTTCTGCCCTGCAGTCCCTACATGACAGGGCTGTAGATATTTTCTATCAACTGAAGGGCGGCCGCGTGGTAAGGGTCATTAATAAGTTTTTTTTTTAACTTTCACATTGTAGCTTGACCAATGTTACGCCTGATTTTCGTTACGATAGGATTATGGGCACCAACATTCCGAACAATTTTCCCACAACCGATATGGGAAAACGTATGAGGAGGGTCTCTTTCCAGAATGGAGTGAAGACAACCCGATTGTTTTGGTTGGTAAGATAATCACGTGATTGGCGCAGAAATTTGATATTATTTTATCTCGAGATTTCCCACGTTTAAAAATTTTTGAAAATTTTAACAGGTAAAGGATATGGCGCCACCACAGCTTTGTATCTCCAACATCTTCTCTCGTCGAACTTCTTCCCAGTTCCTACTTCGGGCAGATGGATCAAAGGCATAATTTCGTACTCTGCTCCACATCGCGGTTCTACTCTCCCATATGCTCTAGGCCTCGAACCCGGTTCAACGTGTATCGTCCATCCACTCTCTGTTCTCCAGGTCTTTGTTACAATTATCCATCTGATCTGCTACTTTACCTTCCTCGATCGTCTATTTGATCTACAACTTAACGACAAATGGGGAGTTGAGAGCAACGCAGAGGCGAGTTTCTGGTCGGCATTAACTGGAAGAAGTAAATGGAGTTATTTTGGCGACAATTTCCTTGGAGATTGGTCCGTCGAAGGGGCTAGACGCAGATTTGCCGGAGAGAAGGACAAATTTCAGTTGGATCCTGCGTGCGTTTATATTAACTACGTGAATGTTGGAAGCATGTGGAAGTCGAGCGTGACCGGACATTACTGGGTGAGTCTTGGACAGGTGGCGAAGATCGGATAGAGCATATGCTAGAAAATATTGTTACTGTAGGTTTTTGTGAAGGGTTGAGAAGACTATTGTGCCTTATTGAAAATCTCCACACTTTCGCACCCCGTACCCTCGCATCCTCGCATTCCTCGTTCCCACCCTTCCACCTCGATCTCTCTATCTAGCCTCGTTTCCCTTGGTGCAATCTTCCAAGTCTGCTGCCGTCTCTTGTTGTCGGCCGCCTAAAATTCTCTCCCGAGGTCGAGCAATCGATACTTCGCACACGATCATCCACATTTTGGGAAAACGACGGTACGCTCTCTATAGCCTCTCAGCTCCCTCCTCCGCATCACAGCGTCCACATGAACATTGCCCTCCTTGAGAAACTTTTCGATCCTATTGATCACGAACTTGAACCCGGTGCATGGTATAACGTTTACGTCAAGGATGTTGCCAGTACTGTTCTATTCGACGGTGAACCCGCGTGGATGAGTCTGCCGATCGTTACCGCGGTTCTGGAGTGGAAAATTGTTCGACAGTTTGGGGAGTATTTTGAAAGGAACAATGAGACTTACGAGAATTACTACTTTGAACTCGTTGAATTTGTGGAGAAGAATATCAACTTGATAAAATCGATGTTGGGTCAGGAGGTGAATGAAGATGCTTCGAATAACAATTCGGCATTCTCCTCTTCGACCAAAGAATGCACTTACACTAGCGATAAAGCTGCATTGGAATGGATGCGTCGTATTGAGACTGCTGAAATGTTCAAGTCTCCTAGCAGGTTGCTTTATTGGATGAACAATTTCCAGAAAATCCACAATGATGAATCGTCTTCTGATGCCATAAAAGCTGATCTAACTGGAATTAACCCCTTTGGTCCATCTTCGGTAATGGAAGGGCCAATGTTTGTTAGAGCTAGGCAGAAGATGACAGCTGAGCAGTATAAAGCTTCGATTTTGAGTGGAAACAGTGAAAGTGGCAGTAGCAATAGTTCATCATCATAAGTTGGGGGGTTTTTTTTTTCATATTCGGGAGTGACTTGAGGTGGACGGGGAGATAAGTGCGTTGATCGTCTTTTCGTTGTTTCTGCTTATTTAACGCGGATTGTTATGGACCTGTATTGTTAAAAATGTTTGTATTGTCATGATCTTCAATACCTCTTGTACATATAGCCTCTCATTCTCTCACCCTAATATAAACTTATTAGACTTGTGAGCAATCTTCTTCATTTGGACTTTTACAAGACTGGAACATTACAGCCTGTTGTTTTATTATCTTCCCTTTATTTCGTTTCAGATTGATTTTTGGTTTTGGTTTTGGTTATTGGTTTTGGTTATTGGTTATTGGTTTTGGTCAATTAACGTTGTACTATTAATATGTAGAGTGAGTTCATAGTGAGCACGATAAAATAAAATTGGTATTATGGTTGGAGACTTACGATTATAGAAAATCCTCGAGAATATGCCCGTGGTCTTTTGTGGTGACGGCGATGTTGTCAACAATTACCGACTCGTTAAAACAGAACTCAACCGATGTGACGATAAAGACTTTATTATCTCTCACATATCTGTTTATCATAATAATCTCCATCAACGCGTGCGTTGATATTTATTTGTTCTCTACTTAATAAAAAATTAATGGACTGTCAATCGACTTGGGGTACCCGAAATAAGCTCCGCGGATATCATATTCCCAAACGCATATGCGACTCTATTCCTATTACACTCGAACTACACCAGGTATCCAAACAGTCTCCATTTTGTCATGTATACTAATAATTAGCCTCCTCAATTGGTCTTCTAATTCATCTACACGATGTGCGATATCATTCCAGTTTGAAGATTTATCTGTTGCCAGAGTAGTGGTTAATCTTGCGTATTCTGTATTCATGTTTTGGAGTATTGAATTCGAATCTTGAAAGTCTGTAGAAAATTCCGAGTTAATGAATACGGTAAATCATTTGTTTATACGAATTGCGGGATATAAATTACCAATGTCCATTGTGATTGAATTAGACGAGTTATCCATCAATTCTTGTAAACGCCGCAAGATCGCTTCTTCTGTAAACAAGACAACTTCAGGGGCTTGGCATGAGATTTTTAACTCAACCGCCGTAGTATCCAAACTTTGCTCGCCTGCATCCACTAGATATATTCTGTCAATATTCGTTTGCCATATTCGCAGAAAATTACCGACATTAAACGCTTCTCTTACGTTTCCTCATATTCAATACAACCGGCGTTAAACTCAACGGTGTTAAAAAGGCGGCATAATCAGCTGCCTTGATAATCTCGTGAAGTAACTGCCTATAATAATTACAAAGCATTAATAGACAAACTGACTGGACACGTTATATAACCATAACTTACTCTTCAATGTAATCTCCCAATAATATCGACAAGCACCGTCTCCACGCTGATTCCAAAGTTGAAGCGTATTTCTCTTCACTGTTCATTTGAACATTTTGATAGTTGAACCAACCAAGACGGAACTTGATTACTACTGTTCTTATGTTGAACGATGAAATAAAGTCTGACCATGTAAGCGTATTCACCTATTAACGTGAAAAATAAATTGATTAGAACAAGTACGCAAGTAACAAACAACACGAGATGTAAATTAATTGCATTCGATGAGTACCTCTACTCCTCTATTTGTGTGAAATCGAGCTATGAGTTTCTCGGCTGTTTTTCTGAAATCGCTCTTTGTTGCAAAGAAATGTCCATCCATCGGTACAATAAAACCAGCACCGTGATTATTCCCGAAATGTCTATGCTTCTGAAGTCGTTGTAAAATATCTTGCGGGCATGGTCTAATAAAATCTAAAATGCTGAATTGTGTTGTCCGTATCGGAAATAAAAATGATTTGGCTTATATGTCCAAAAAGAACGACTTAGTCGGCATAAAACAGTTACGTTATCAAAAAATTGATTTTTTGAAAATAAGTACTTTTGATTCCCGGCTCTGGCGGAGGCTTTAGAGGGGAGAAGCACAAGTCAATTTTTATGTTAATTGGTAGACATAATAAACGTAGATTGACTTCTACGTCTCGTTCCCTGTTCAATTTACAAAGTCGTCAGACTCGATTGGTAATTACGTTAAAAACACGACATTATAATGCATTACCATTCAGATTCCATATTTACTAACGGGACTGAATATGATACAATCGAGTTTGGGTTTCCGTTATGGGCATAAACATGAGCCGACATGATCATCATCACTTAATACGATGTAAGGACTAACGCGTACACACATCATTATTTGCATTACCACAATAATAAAAACATTCAAAGATACATGTCCAGCCCTGTGACCAGTCGATCTGTAGTCTATTAGTTATCTTTACGCGAATGAATGTCCTCGTTACAATAGTTCCGTACAAAGACACGGGTAATGTTATAGGGAGACAAGTAACAGCAAACTGCGTGGCCCGAGTATCGATCGACTTTTTTGCAAAGGTTTGTAGCTCGTGAATCACACGATTACGTGCAACAATAGCCGACGATAACAGCTAAAGAAATAAAATTTGGAAAATTTGGGCTACATTTCTCACGACTGATGTAAAAAAAATCGAGACAAGTACCTGTGAAGTCTTCTCCAGTTGTGATTGCTTCTCGGAACATTCTGCAATTAAACCTAATTGACTTTTGATTTCTTTCTTCAATTCGGCTGCTGATTCCACGCGTCTTCCTGTTGATTGTTTGCTGTATACACAATATTTACAAAATGAAGTCCACTCATAACGGTTCGGGTGGTGGTTCGAATCCATCAAGCAAAATGAGACGGGTAATCACTGATATCCTCCATGGAAATGGTTTACCTTAGGACAACAGACAACTTCATTCTAAGTATACGACCATCCTTTGTTACAGAGTATAATATTTCCTCAGATAAACCCCCGACAGACCCGATGTAGCACAGTTTAATTATACCAACGGGAAGCTTAAGCGTGCTAAGATGCAGTGATACGAGTTGACCTGAACAACTGACAAAATGAGCAAATGACTGTCAACAATGGCAAATAGAGCATCATTACTGCTTTACCATTTTCAATCACATTTTGATTGAAATCAATGACCACAATTCGACCATCGCCGACAGCCAGCAGCAAATATTTCTAATTCAATTTTGCACGTGTAAACAAACGTATATATATCCAATGTATCAAAATATTTATAGTGAACAAACCTTGTACAGGAAAGATGAATAGACAGGGCAAGGAACATTGTACTCTCTGTATAGCGATTTTTGTGCTTTATTGTCACTTGCACTCGGATCAGTTGTCATCAATCCGACTGTCCCATGCGCTCTACAAAAACGTATAATCAATTAATATAAAGTTGACAGGTTTAATTCCATCACAACAATAATTACTTACCCAATAATAAGCAGTGCGTTATTAACATTTGTATCAGTAACACTCATACTGAACGTAAGCGGCGTATCCTGGAGTTCTCCTCGTTGAACTGGCAGGACGTACATCGCTTGAATCGGTTCCTATAATCGTAATATGTCAATAAATAGATCTATCCACATGATGTAGATGACAGATCACTCGCAGCGCACGAACACTTAGTGCAGTCATAATCAATGGTGTGGCAAGAGCGGCGTTCAGTTGTCGGGAGAGGATAACACCGTCGGAAAGTCCAATCAATAAAATGTCACAAGAAAGGCTATCGCTGTAAATAGATAATAATTTGCGTCAAACCGGACATTTAGAAACGGAAATCATAAACAAAAGTGTCTAAAAGCTGAATATTTACTTTACAGATCCAAACAGCACTTTAGCCAAGTCTTTCGAAATCACATGGCGTCCGATTGTATTTAATGCGGGGGTTGATGCAGATGTAGAAAGTATGTTATTATGTCAAAGATAATGTAAGTACGGTTTCGTTATACGCCAAAAAAAAAAAAAAAGTCATCCATTTCAAGGATATCAATTAAATGACAATTTTGCCGCGTTTGATTCTCCATCGGTTCGGTATTTTGATTATTGGAAGTGCTGAACAGAATTTTATGGCTATGCATATCCGCTCCGGGTGACATAAATTCTATCTTTCCATTTTGATAGCACAAGACAAAACATTCCGTGTTCTCATATTTGTACTTAATAAGGGCACCAAGATCTGCCTTCAGGCATAAAGAAATCATCGTTAACCTTAGTTCACATATTGTCTATATAAATCATTGTCATATACCTCACAAATTATTTAACGCATCGATTACACTTGCCTGCTTGTAAATTAAATGCTCACCGCTGACATTTAGAATTGTAGGAGCAGACATCGGTACAACGTATGGTGACAAGTTTTCATCACTCGATAACATAACCACATCATTATCCGAGTCTGTGCTATACATTCTACGCGATTTCTTGGCATGCCTTGAAACGTCGAAACTGTCGCTGAAATCACGGTCCAGATTTCTACACAAAAGTATCTATCGATAAAAAGGCAAGAAATGTACAAGAGGTTTGGAACACACGCATCTTACCTTTTATCACTATACAATCCAAGATTGGACCGCATTCGTAACATGGCCCCGTCTGCTGTGGCTACCAAGACAGATATAAAATCATCATTTGGTACACTATGCTCTAGTGAGATTTCAATCGGTTCAGCAGGGAAACGCCATATTTGTCTTAACGAGCCGTTTATGAATATGTGGAAAAGTTTTGGAAGCACACGAACTGCCAGCCAATCATAATTTTTAAAGCTTTTTGCTACAACAGGTCCAATTGGACACGGTAGACTGTACGTGTTTAGGATTTCAAGTTCGATGGTCATGGACTAAGAATGTGAAAAATAATGGCCGTTGTTCAAGTCATCTTTTTCAGGCACGCGCCTAGTGTGCAACATGAAATTTGTGTTACAATGACCTCGTGTAATAGTAAACTGTAAATAATTCTGTAATGCGATTTCCTATTACTATCGTGCATATCTCGATTGCTTAGGCCTTTTTTCTCATTAACAATTATATTCTGCAGTACATGTGAAGGGAAGAGAAAATATGCTATTCTGTTTTTTTTAGAACAATTGTTAACGTTCACCGCACGTCTGTCAAAGTTTTTTCTCTGTAAGGTAAATTTTAACTAATTGATAATTTTGGCGAGTTTCACTATTCACCCAAGCGTGCTAGTTCCTCACGTTAGAGAAGATTACTTGCAAGGTAGGGACCATGTGTTTCAAACCATACAAATGACATTATAAGCCCCGCACAGTATCAAAGTACATTCAATTGTTTCTTTTCATTCCAAGCAGTTTCGAATTGATCTTGAGCTGGTCGGCATTTGGAAATTGGAGTCGAGCATACCCAAGGCTTTTTATTTATTTCCTTGGGACTGTCTATTTATTCGTCTTGTCAATTATATTCAAGATCTCATCGATTGCCGTAACGATGTGATCATCAACAGGCTGGACTTCTGATTCGAGTACAATCAAATCATTAAATGTCAACCCTCTTTCGCCCGTATACAAATGCTCGTGGAATTTAACATAATTTGGATACACGATATCATCAAAATATCCAGGTGGATCTTCCCAATACCCTTTGAAGAAAAGGATCACATAAAACGGTTTGATTTAATGACCAGACTCAGTACTGATGAAGCAGGAATTATATTAACGTTAAACCGCCTCCGACAACCACCGCAAATAATATTTCACGTCACGCCATACTCTTTCATAGTTTTCCTACCTTCTATTGTGACATATCTCGCCCTCTCCTCTCTCCTTCTCTTCAGCACGTGATATTCAGCCTTGACAAATAATTTCACATCTAACATGTTTACCACATCCATATTCCAATATAGCATAAAACCATCAACCAAAGCAAACACCCATTCCTCTCCACTGCGATCAATGACATTGCTCATTTTCTGCTTGAGATCGACCAGTAAACGGTCATCATTGAGAGGGACGTGTTGAGTGATGTTTTGACTCTCTTTGGAGTCATGATCCGAAGGGATTGTGCCAGTTTGGTGTATGTGATTGATAGTTGAGAGGAATTGAGGAAAGTCTATGGCATCCGGGCAGTCCCAATTTTGCAGATTTTTGGATACATCGAACGGAATCTGTGATTCCGGCTGGGAGGAAAGAGAAAAAAAGTGTAAAGATCGAGGAAAGAAGGGGAAGGATATTAAGACAGTAAAACTTGGATCACCTTAAAGAAGTCATCTTGGAATAGAATAATGCATCTCGGTAATATTTGTTGTAAATATCTTCCTATCGTCTAGTTGACAAGTGGTAGTGAGCTCATTTATAAAGACTTTTAGTCTGTCATCAAGATTTGTTATTATTCACAGCCTTTCACGATATATTTACCGACTTTCCTGCACACGATGCACCTCTAATGTATTATTGTTAGCATTCAATACTGTGCTTGCGCTTCGAATGACATGATAGCACACTAACCCAATGCCAATTGTGATGACTTTCATTGCAACAGATTATGATTGTCAATTTGTAACTCCGGGATTAAGAAATTGCATGAATCCTAATTGCGTGTAACATAGATTGCGAAATGTTTATTTGTCGGAACTTTTACATTTCGTCCCAAGTAATAAACTAACACGTTCACATATCAACATATCATAATAATATTTCTCTAAGCACAATGTTTGATGATTGAGACAGTAACTTGATTCAGTCAATCACAGGACGAGATATATTACTTTAATACTGTCGCTTCATACGCCTCATTTGAATGAACCCATTCCAATTATATAATGATTCAATATTAGAAGGTTAGTGTTTATCGTAAAGTGAAGGTTACGATAATACATCGGAACGCGCATTCGTTACAGAAAACGCCTGTCCTTATTTAAATGTGACACTTTGGTAAATACAATTTTATCGATCTTATTATTAAAAGATCATAAATGCTCGTGATCAGGATAAGGATCGTCATCAATTTAGTTAGTATTGACTAATTTGATAAGCAATCACACCGACTTGCAGACTATACTACAATGCAAATATCATTGTTCTTACCAATAAAGAACATAATACGATATGATGGGATAAAAGCTCGAAGCTATGAAATGAAGCTAAGGTAAACCTATACACGTTGTACATGTAGGCGAGGCATATAAGCCAAGTCTGCGTAGTGATTTTTTATTTCAATGATCCGAATACAATTATTCACAAAATTGTTTCATTTCCACGAAATACTCTCCATTAAAATCCATGCAACATTGCGGAAAGTTTTTTCATCCTCAGTTTTTGGGATCGAAAATGTGATTGCTTAAATACTTGCAGTGCTCTCGTCACAATCCATTCATGGTTTTTTCTAGAAAAAAGAATTGGTTATCGGAGAAAGATGTACCATAACCTATGTGTATAAACGATTATTTATTACGAAGAAGCAGTACGAGACGCACGTTGTGTAGTAACAATTGATCGTCATCGAGCCGTTTTAATCATTTGTGTTTGTTCCGTATAAAGCATAAGAATAATACATATCCTTTTAAGATCTACTCGGAAAAGTTCTCAATCAGCCGACCAATCTAACTTGGAGATGGTCAATCAATTCCTTCAATTGGGAGAAAAATGAAGGCGTTTGCTGTTGTCGACTTTTCCATCTCTTTTGCCCAAGGTTCCGTGAGAATTCGCTATCATCGAGTCATTGTGTCTTAAAAACCCTGTATCAAAACAGTTGCACGAAATTCGCCGCAGGTATACTGTTCATTCGGAATCATGGCTCCTTTCCCATCTTCCATATAGTCCAGACTCTGTTTAAGTTACGAATGCTTATTTTTAGAACGATAAATATAATTTTGTCCAAAAATAGAATAGCTCGATCGATGATACAAGTTAGTGATCGGGCACCACAGACTTTGTATAACATTATGTTCCTCCATTAACATTCCATTAAGGCGAGTCGACCTACCTTATATAGTTATCCAATTTTACGCTTGTGGCAAGATCATTTATGCAAACTCCTGGATCACAAAAAGAGTGGACACAAAATGTTTATAATATAACATAATCCAATGTCCACCACTCGATAATCAGCATTAATATTAACCCAGCGTAAATTTATAAAGGTCAGTGAAAACAAAATTATGAATATCGTACTGAAAAAGTTGATAAAGTTTTCAAAATTCAGGTTGATGTATATTGTATGCATGTTTAAAGTTTAAACGGTCTCTTTATTTGATTAAACTTGACATGAACAAACTTGCCGATTTCTACGATAGATAAATTGAAATCTATATTAGCGTAGATCGTCATGTAATACTTCGATATCTCGATCACATCAACTAGCGTCGGAATAAATAGCACATTTAATTATATTAAATGCTAAATTAATATACAGATTGTGCTGCCAACAAATTGCTATTTAAGCCCTCTTTGCATACAATCTCCTCACGCCTCTGTCAAATTGGCATAGGTGTGTCACGATAGTCAATTCCAACCTCGTATTATTTCAAAACTTTTGACTTTGTTAATCAGACTATTAACATAGTCTCAAATCACGTCTTGCTCCGGTTTTGAATAGTTGTTATCTTCAAATGCTGCTCGAATATTTTCTATTTTCGACTTTTGTGCTATTTACTAGACTATTGTCTACACGAGCAGCGTATTCATGCAATCCAGCAGCATGCGTGGCTCCCAACTGTTTCTGCGCGTCAACTGATCCACCAGGAAATATACCCATTGAGCAAGTGCCCCAGTTTTTTGTTTTGACTTTTGACGATGCTGTACAAGCAGATTCTATGAAAGGTTGGAAGAAATTTTAATAATAAAACCGATTGATTAAAGAATTATTAAAACCTGTTTTACTATTAGTAACAAAATCAATCTTTTAGTTGTCAACGCCCTAATAGGAGGGAAAAAAAATCCCAACGGGTAAATATAACTTATTATAATAATTTTCTTACATCCAAACAAACATGAAATTTTAACTTTATTATCCATGTGTTTGCTTTTTTAAATATTCCCTAATTATCCTTTTTAGCTGTCCGATTACCACAACTTATTTTACACAGACACTTTATACAGACTTTGGAATGGTTACTGATTGGTATGCAGCTGGACATGAGGTAAGAAGAACCTTTTTTGTCATTTATTACGCATATACAACCTAAACATTAATATTTATATTTACAAATTAGGTCGCAGACCACACGATGACACATCCAAATTTACCGGGAGAAGGTAAGAAATTACAATGACTATTATAACAACTGGTGCAACATGACGAATAAAACTGAGTTGACACTTTGCTATATATGGAATGTCGTCCATGTGACTACTTACATTCTACTTTTTGATAATAGCCGAAATAACCGGCAACAAACTCGCCCTTCACGCGTTTTCCGGCATTCCATACAGCAAAATAACCGGGTTTCGTGCTCCATATCTCAATTATACGGTCGAAATGCTAAAAACTCTTGCAAGACTTGGATTTACGTACGATTCATCCATTACTGCTAGTCCGGGTGATACCTTCTGGCCGTATACACTAGATTTTGGTGTAGCAAATGAATGTTGGACATCTATTTGCGATGCTGGCGTAAAATTGCCGGGATTTTTTGAATTTCCAATGTATAATATTCTTGGTAAGCAGTGTTGACAATGATGTAGTTCTTAATCATGCGTTAATTTATAATGTAATTATTTTGATCATAGGCGACAATAATGTGGAATATACGATGGATCCTATGCTTAGTGGTGACCCACAAGTCGTAGAAAAATGGCTTGTAAGTAACTTTGATCGACATATTCAGAATAAGAAAGCACCTTTTGGTAAGTAATAACAAAGTGCATACACTTTACACGTTTTTTTTATGCGTTCATATACGCATGTGTGTAGGCTGAATTCAAAACCTTCTAACTTGTAATTTCAGGCCTTTATCTTCATGCCGCTCAGCTAGTACCCCAGCCAGACCGTCCAGATCCCGGCCCACAGATAACTCAGTACAATCGTTTTTTAGAGTATGCCTTGTCCCAACCGAACGTCTATGCCGTTACCTATTCTCAAGTGCTTGCCTGGATGAAAAATCCTGTCCCAGTTTCCCAACTCAAGAATCATCCCGCATTTAAATGTGATGTACCGAAACTTGGCACAGAAATCTGTAACGGCCTTGATGACAACGGTAACGGTAATATTGACGAAGGATTAAAACAGCAATGCAATTTGCCTACGGCTAGCTTCTCGACATGTTACAATTGCCCAAACGATATACCATCCCCGGGCAATCCAACTCCAAAAAGAGTGAACCAGAATAGATTTGAAGTGAGTGACAACTGTGATTTATTGTACTGGGATCCTATTGCTGGAAAGTGTTTGTGTCAAGATAAGTCGTGCGCTTTTACGGATTTGTCGTCAGGGAATGGGACTGGGACTGGGACTGGGACTGGGACTAATACTAGTACTAGTGGGGATAGCGGAAGCGGCGGAAACAGTGGGAGTAGTAGTAGTAGTAATGGAACAAATGGAAATAGCACAGATTCTAATCAGGCTAGCAATACCTGGAAAATGGAAAGTGAATCTCGAATAGCAATAGGAGTAATAGCAGTTATTGTTTCGTTAATTTGTGGGACGTTAGTATAATAATAATGTTAAAGTTGTAAAGTAAATAGTAAACACCAAAAAATTAAGCTTATAGATACATATTTTAGTAATTAAAAATAATGTCACTTTTTTTCCAAAGGTGCATTAGACTTTCGTTTAGATAAAAAATAAATGCTACTATGTCAAATATTACGTAGGCTTCATGGAACAAGATAATTTCTGTCACAAAAAATACAGTATAGAATAAGTTTTATCGGTCCCTCGATAAGGCGGTTTTTGCCTAACTCGGTCAAAATATTAAGCCCTTCTTTTCAATGTTAAAAATCTTTTGATAAGTCGGTCAACATATGAAAAGTCGCGATAACCTGTAAGTCGGAATCGATCGATTCCTCTAGCCCGCTTTATCACTGCGGTGCTCCTATTCTATGGCGTCGTGTTGAGTTTTTCAACAAAGTTATCAGCAGAGTCTGCGCGCCTTAAATATGTCTCGGGTTCTTACTCGGCGATTGATAAACTTTAAAAGAGTTATGCGTAGAAAAATAAAGCCACTCTATCGTTCAAAGATGGTCTATCTCAAGTTAGAAGGTTTAAAAATCTCAGATGCATTGATTAGTACGATTCTACGCTCGTGTCCAGATAAAAGTAAGAGTTTCACTAATATACCAATTATAGAAATTGCGAGATTTCTCCAAAACTACAACATCAGAGTCTTAATTCATGCATATGTCTCACTGATCGATGTATCACTGAAATAGCGCGTTCTTGTCCAAAACTTAAACATCTTGAGCTTGGCGATTGTTCGATTAGTAATAAAGCTATTGAGGAAATAGCCCGTGACTGTACTAATTTAAATATCCTAGTTTGGAGGATTAGCGGAGAAGTAATGAAAAAACTCAATCTAAAAATTAAAATCGAATATTCCTCCTTTCTCTCAAGCTCGAAAGAAGATATACGAATGTCGCTGGCTTCGAACATGTATGTGAGAAGGTGGGATGAAACAGATTTAATTTCTTCGCTCAGTAATTGTATCAGAGAGATTGACATGTTATTATAAATGTGTGACATTCACGTTACCGGCTTATTTATTAAATTCGGACGGCGACCGAGACGAAGAATGCATCGAAATCGACGTGCCTTTATCAAGAATCACCAATCATGAAGATGCCAGTCATTACTTGTAATGAAAAACTGGTGCAACGTGTCTTCAATACCAAATGCACGTACATCACAATTTGATCCTCATCATCTGTTCTTTTTGCTCTTCTTTCTCGAAAAGTCGATTGATTGTCTGCTATCATTTGTTTCAACTCCGCCCGCCATGTCGACAAATGATGTAACCGCGAATTTTTGTAAAACTTCTCCAAAAAGTCGGGTGCAATGCTTGTATTCTGACGATTCCATCCATTCGCAAGGTCGGATTCATGTTAACTCTAATCCAGTCTGACAATGCGGAGAAGACTCGCGTGTGTTTGAGAAAGTGGTTGGAACATTAAAGAAAGGTAATAGATGAGAGATTTGGAAATGATCAGCTGATATATCAAATTGCATAATAAAATAATTAAATGCCGACTTGAAGACTTTTACTTTTGCCTTTGCTTATTTATCGGAATATTTTTAATCTGTAAAAGGATTCAAGAATTGCAAGGTGTAGATCAGAACAATAGTAAGAGTGCTGACCCACAGAAATTATTCTATTCTCATAGTGACTTTCTTGAGGTTTTCAAATTCCTAAAATTGCATATCAATGAACTACAATAGAAATATATACGTGTTACAGTTCCAAATTTCAAATTTTCGACATGGAGTTAGGTGGTTGAGTAGTTTATAAGTTGTTTTTCTTAATATAAGATCTCAATGCCAAGCTACTACATGTATCGGACGTGTGCTTGGCCGTTTGTTACCGTGTAGTAAATTTTCCCCTTCATCACTTGACGCACAATCTTAACCTGATACGTCGATTACACCATTTTTATTCGCCGCTTACGAATATCTTTCCCAGATTAATATTTTGCACTAAACCCTTAATTACCTTTTCTGGTAAGATTTTTGGA